ATTATGTCAGCTTTCACTCCATCTGCAGGAGTTTGTGTGCTCCTGCTTCCAGGCCACCTGTGATGAATAAAGGACGTTGCTTATTGATCTACCAGTTATTGCAAATCTGCACCGGGAAGCCAGAGGGGCTCTCCATCAGGTCTTAGCTGGCATCCATTAGCTGTTGGGCACGGGGGTAGGTCATAACGTTTCAGGTTCTTTTAAAGGCTGAAGGGTGAAAGCAGAAGCACAAGGAAGTGAACATGTCTCAATGTGCAGGTGGAGGTCAGTCTTGACTTTGCCAGCCTGGAGAAACTGCTTCACTCTCACTATGGGGGTGTTTATCTGGAATGAGCTGCCATGGAGGGCACGTGGTCTCACAGCTCCAGCCTGAGGAGCTCTTCTCCCCAGTGCCACTGCTGGGGACTGTGCCTGAGAGGTGAGCAGGCAGGAGAGCTGCAGCACTCTCCTGGTTGTATTGCTGTATCCATACAGGGGAGGGAATCTCAGCCCCTCCTAACTGAGGCTGGGATTTCCCTGTGTGGGTACAGCATACCTGAAAAAAACCTGGAAGTTTACTTCAGCAAAATAATCCACGAGGACTAAGAGATGTTTGAAGGGCTCTGTTCCTTAACATGCTGCAAGTCCCCGAAAGGGATGGTGCAGGATCAGGGCTGGGAGGGGCTCTGGGAGCCCCAAGCCCTCGCTCTCCTCTGCCCTGTGTGGAGCAGAAGTCCGTGGGCTGGGTGGAACAACAAGGAACTGAGCTCTTGCCAAGCAAAACATGCAGAAAATACTCTCCGAAATTCCTCTTCCTGCCCTCTCAGCCCTCTGTTCTCAGTTCACCTCTGCAGCCTGCCTGTGAAAAAGGAGTGCTGCTGCCAACAGGAGAGGTTTGGGTCATTCTTTGGGGAAAGGGAGTGGAGCCTGGCCTCTTCCACCTGCAAAATTTAATACTTATCTTTTCTGCCAAGAGATTAAGTTGAACACTTGGCACCTGCCAGATTCAGTGGAGCAATAGCTGTTGGTGGATGTGTCACCTGCTCATCTTCAGAGGAGAGGCTCTGGGGCAGGGGAGCAGGGGCAAGGGGTGCCGCCTTGCCTGGACACTGCAGGCTCCCTGCACCTGGGGCAGTGTGGCACTCCACTATCCTCCAGGAGACAAAGCCACCTTGCGAGAGTGACAGGCTGGTGGTACACACACAGCTCCTGTCTGACATCCAGAAATGATCCTTGCTGAGGTGCAAAAGCAGCTTTTTTTTCCCCCCAGACCCAGAGCTGAGCCTGAGCCTCAGGCATCATTATCACCCAGTGCTCTGCCTGCACCCGCTGCCCCAAGGCAGGTGGCAACAGCCCACAAGAGCTGCATGGGCAGGAGGTGGCTGCTCTGTGGGCACCGGCGTGGATGCAGGCAGTGTAGCTGGGGACAGGTGGTTTTGGCTGGCTGACAGCCTTGGAGAGATCGGAGGGAGGTGGGTTGAGGACGGCAGGCAGCTGTCTGCATCATGGGGAGCCTTGGCAGCTGCCTGCACTCGCCAGTCATGCCAGAGGCCAGATGGAGTAGGTGGGCACCGAGGAGCAGGCCCCTGCTGCCGCTCCCCTTCTGCAGCTCTGCGTGGTGGCAGGGCACGGGTGGCCCTGCACAATTACTCTCTGGTGAGCGAGGGAGTGCTGTGCTCAGGGTGTGAAGGTCCTTTCTGTTTTGTCGGAAAAAGACACACACAAAAATAAATGCGGAGACCAGGATAAATTCTGCAAGCAGAAATACTTGTGAAATGCCCACTGGGCCTGTCACAAACTTCATTTAAATATGGGCTCACTGTGGTCACCTGGATAGCTCCAGTAGAGTTGCTGGGTTTACACTGTACTTTAAAGCTAAGCGTGTTGGAGATGCTTTTCTGAGCCAAGATCTGTCACTTGCCTCTCTCCGTGTCCCCCACGGGCTCTGGCAAGGTACCAAATAGCTTTGTTTTCTAGCTGCTGGTGGCTGTCCTCTCTGTCACTGGATGGCTGGCCTGCACTGCCCCAGGGGTGTTTCCTGCGCAGGTGACGTTGCACTCCCACTTTCCTGCCAAAGCACTTCAGCTCCCTCCACTCCAAAAGACTGCGCAGCGCAACCACGGATGTGTGTGGGTGCAGGCAAACCATCTGGCTGCTCCCTGGTTCTCATCAGTACTATGGAAAGTCCCATGTTTCAGGGCCCAGCTATGTGACTCACTTGTGCCACAGCTCCCAGGATGTTGCAGCCGGGTTTGTGCTGTGCGAGGTTACAGTGCTCCACAGCCACAGCTGGATAAGCCGGGATGAGCAGTGATGGGGCGTGCTGGTGAAACACGGAGACAAAGTTGTGTTCAGGACCTGATTGCCTGCGCAGGTTACATGCTCTGGTTGGAGCTTCACCGTATAATTCATGTTCACAAATGCTCTCTCTGAGGAAGGAGAGGTCACAGCTCCTTTCCTAGCTGCATCCCCTGGTTTCTGTGTAAATGATCTGGTTTCGGAAAGTCTTCAGTGACAGCCTGTGTTAAGTGTTCAACGTGCTCTTAGCTGTTGTCTTTTCAGTCACTATTCAGTCATGGTTATTTAAATCCTGAGATGAAAAATAAACTATTCTTTTGTTTGCCTGTCCCTCTGCTTTGTTGCATCCCCTCTCAATCACTGAGGCAGGAGACGGTGGTGCCTTCACCGGCTTCTCCCAGGGATGAAGCATATGGCAACTGTGCGGTGCGGCGGGACAAAGCCTCCACCTCCTGGCGGCAGAGCCGCACGGCAGCCGGGCGCCGGTTTCTGTCTGCGGGAGTTGTCCCAGAAAGAAGGCAGAAAGCTCACCAAGGAAGCAGAGCGAAGCCTTGGCATGCATGGTGCTTCCTGCAAGGCTCAGCCCCTCTGGCCGCAGTGGAGCACAGTGTTTATCTGCAGGCATCCCGGGGCTTGTTCTGGCTGCCGAGGCAGGGAAACGGTCTCCGTTTGGGTTCTCTCTCTGAGACCTAGAAATTTTTGTCCTGGTCCTGAAGAAGGTTCTCACGAGGTTATTTTAATGCATTCCTGCCTGATGAAACCCCAGCACCATCCAACATCTGTTTTCCAAGGCTGACTGGAAGTGAGGTGCTACCGTGCAGGCAGTTTCAGGACGGGGGAAGCTTAGGGGTTTTCTCTCTCAAACTCTGATAGTGGGCTCAGCATGTTCACACTCTCCTAAGGGTACCTCAGAACTGAATCTTTCTGGAGTCCCCCAGAAGAAACTTAAAGGCCATGTTCAAAGTATTTTTCACAAGTAATAAGGAGGTCGGGGCTGTCTGTGGAGTTGTCCCAGAAAGAAGGCAGAAAGCTCACCAAGGAAGCAGAGCGAAGCCTTGGCATGCATGGTGCTTCCTGCAAGGCTCAGCCCCTCTGGCCGCGGTGGAGCACAGTGTTTATCTGCAGGCATCCCGGGGCTTGTTCTGGCTGCCGAGGCAGGGAAACGGTCTCCGTTTGGGTTCTCTCTCTGAGACCTAGAAATTTTTGTCCTGGTCCTGAAGAAGGTTCTCACGAGGTTATTTTAATGCATTCCTGCCTGATGAAACCCCAGCACCATCCAACATCTGTTTTCCAAGGCTGACTGGAAGTGAGGTGCTACCGTGCAGGCAGTTTCAGGACGGGGGAAGCTTAGGGGTTTTCTCTCTCAAACTCTGATAGTGGGCTCAGCATGTTCACACTCTCCTAAGGGTACCTCAGAACTGAATCTTTCTGGAGTCCCCCAGAAGAAACTTAAAGGCCATGTTCAAAGTATTTTTCACAAGTAATAAGGAGGTCGGGGTAGTTCTCAGCATTGCAGCTGCAGCTCGAGGCTCAGGGATTTTTTCATGTCGAGATTTGCCCCTTCCATCACTTCTCCCCCTTTGGGCTCCTTGTGAGTGCCAAGTACCTGGTACCAAGGGAGACTTGCATGCAGACACGTATGTTTATTTTTGTAAATGGTTTTAAAAGAATGACAAGGGAATTGCAAATGAATCTGAGTAAAGATAGAAAAAGACCACAAAGGAGAAAACACTTCAGCAATAAGACAGAGGAGTGCTCAGCTCTGCCAGCATCTCTGCAGGGTCTGCCAGGGTGTTATGCATCCCTCAGCTTACACTGACAGCCCCTTGCCCATGGCAGTCGGAGAGGGACGGTTGTCCCATGGCCGATGGGCTGAGGGGAGTTTGACGTGCTGCAGGGGCTGCTGCACTGGGCTCTGGGCTCTGCATGTGACTGGCTCTGTGCTTATGGGACCAGGGTGGTTTAATTAGAGGTGGCAAAGCCACCTCTAGAGTCACCTCTGCAAAGCATCAACTGCACGTGCAGTGCCTGCGAGCCGCTGGCATGGAGTGTGTTGGCCCGCTTCACCGGCTGCCTGCAGCTCCTGAAGTGCTTTCAGAGAGCAATCACTTCCCAGTGTTGAGGGCTCTCAATTGCCCGTATTTTTGGAACTGTTCAAGTCTTCCCCAACACCATCCTCCTTTCCAAAGATGCCAGCTGAGAACTTTCCATGTCCAGGCCCCTGCTGTGTGTCCCCCCAGGAAGCCGAAGATGCAGTTTGTGGTGGGAAACCTGCGTCTGCTGGGCAGTGGCAACAAGCCCTTCCTGCAGAAAGGGCACGGCAGTGGCACTGATGGCAGAGGCTCCAGGGGCACATGTGTACCATGTGTCTGGGTCATGATTACAGCTGGTGGACAGCCCGGGCTGTCCTTGTGGCCACCAGACCTGGCTGGAAGGGGGATGGTGCTCACATACAGGTTTTTCCCAGAACCCTGGGTTCAAACACAGCCCGAGGAAATAGCAGCTGCCTCAGAGGTCCCAGCCCTCTGACAGGGGTGACACTTCAGGGAGGGTGGGGGGAAGGAGAGGCAGTGAGAGGGGAAGCAGCTTTCCCAAGGCCACGCACCCAGGGAGCCATGCTGCCTTTCAGATCACACCAAGCTCCTTCACCCCAGGGAAGGGGGGAGTTTGCCCACGTGCCCCCCTGACCAGCCTGTGTGTCTGACTGATCTGTCTCCCCCCAGGTATCTCTCAGCCATGAGTGCACTCGCGCCATCATGAAGCTGATGTACTGCCCGCACTGCCGGGGCATGTCCAGCGTGAAGCCATGCAACAACTACTGCCTGAACGTCGTGAAGGGCTGCCTGGCCAACCAAGCGGACCTGAACACCGAGTGGAAGTACCTGATGGGTAAGGTGACCTTACTCTGCTGCAGCACAGCTGGCTCTCACGGCAACTTTTGAATTCTCTGAGATAGTGTTCGGAGAGTAAAGAAAGGACCGTTGGAGGTTCTTTTACACCACATTCTCTCTGTCCGTGATCTGGTGCCTAGAAGCTATTGCAGGACATTTTGCTGGGCTTTAATACCATTAGAAAGGACACTGCTGGGCTGACTAACAAGGGCTTAAAGAGTTTTCATCTTGCCTGTGCTCATTTGGGATTGCCCACACTTTGCCTTCAAGTAATTCTTCCTTCCCTCCCAAGTGTTGAAGCTGAGGGACAGATCCTGCCACCTGTCAGAGCTTCCTCCTCATCCATACCAGAGCACTTGTGAGAGCACAGGAGAAGCACTTGCTGCCCTCCTTGGGAGGTAGTCTAGAAACTAGCCATAAACTGTTTCCATGGGTGGAGAGCAAAGGGATCAAAATCGCATACTACTAAATGGGAAGAGGTGTCTTTCTTAAACAAATACAGGGGGAGGGAGAAGTCACAGATCACCAGGAATGGGAAAATTAGACTTGTATTTTAAATAAGAAAAGATCTCATTTCATTTTTGTTTTGTCACTTGGCTAAGATAATGGGTCTCTTAAAGTGGGTTGTATGTGTATAGAGATGTCCATTTCATTGAGTTTAAAGCCAGAAATATCACTGTGATGGTGTGGTCTGATCTCCTGTGCAACACAGGCTGGAGAACTTCAATCAGGTGTTTCTGCAGGAAATTCTGCATTGCCTGATCAGACCCGGGCATCTTTTAAGAAGACCTCATGTGACACTCAGCTGTTTTTCCAGAGCCTGTGGCTCCTGGTTTAAATGTGAACTGCTGCTGAGAGTGGCTTGTGGAGCTGATGGGCATGGTTTAAGACTGGTGATGGTCTGTGTTTAGAAAATGGTGTGTTCATGTTACAGTGCATGTCCTCTCCCCAGCTGTAGTCCATCAGGGGAGGTTGGTTACAATGGTGAGGCTCTCACTCCTCCTTGTGCCCACAGAGCATCACCCAGCAAGCTCCTCTTTCTCTCCCAGGTTGTACATTTAGACCTGGAGTGATCTGAGACCTGAGGGAGCCTTGATGTTTCTCGGGGCTCTCGGAAGGCAGGCACAAGCGGAGATGAGCTTTGGGCTTGGCCTTTTCCCTTGTCTTGGCTCCCCCTGCCTAGCCAGCAAGACTGTCAGCTCACTGGCCAGCTGCAGCCTGACAGGCTGGCTCAGAGTTGATGTGTGGTGGTGTTAACAATAAAAAGCCCACTGAAACTCAAGGAGTGTCATCTGCCTCTCAAGGGACACCGCAAAATAAATATCGAAACACTGCACACAGAGGACAGTGCACTTGCTCAGTGAGGTGTGTTGGCCAGCTGTCCACCTTGTGCTAGGGGCTGAGGAACTAAGTGGCAACTTACTGCAGCTAATTGGAAGTGCTCCCCACGAGAGCGGCTTGGGAGGCTGCTGTAAAAGAGGGGGATGAATATTCCCTTCCCCAAGGGTTTAGATCAGGATTTTGATGGCACTTTGGCCTTTCTGACCAGAGCAAGCCAAGTGTTACCTGTCACTGCTCTCCTGGCAGGATGACTGCCCGTCTCCTGAAAGGTCAATGTACAGCTCTCCTTGATTGACAGGGAGGCAATTCCAAGTGTGTTTTGCACTTATTCTGGTTTCCTTTTCCCCAAGAGACACTGTTCTTGTGAAGGGGTGATGGCTCAGAGCAAATTGGAGCTTCTTTCAAATTGCAGTTGGACATTTTAGTGTCAGAGGTCACCATTTGATCAAGGACAGGAGCAAGACGTAGAGTCAAAGGTAGCAGTTCACTGGCATTGCCCATTCTTCACCCTTCTCCAGGCCCTTCAGTGTAGGTGGAGAGGATTTTGTTACACTAAACACAAACTTAGTCTTTCAATTTGACAAATTAGGGCAGGTCAAATTAAGGGAGATTTTTATGGTAAGTGGTTCAAACATAATTTATCACTAATTTGGGGGTGCAGCCTTTGATTTAAATATCTGTATCTCAACATTAGTGCCTCTACAAGCTAAAATTGGAAAATACAGTCTCGAAGATGACACCGCAATCCCTGAGTGGCAGCAAAGTTGAACTGCAAGCTCTTTAATGTTATTTCCCAGAATACAAAAAAACATTACCCCCTTGTGTGGCATGTTTAGCTTTAGAAATCAGCGCTGCCATAGGACTATGTTGCAGGAAAAGAGAAGCACATTAACTTGGAAACTGTGGCCCTTGTTTCCATTCTTGTTCAAGCTAACCAGCAAAACCTTTTTTCTTTTTTTTTTGAGTGCTGAAAATAAATGCATAATTTTTCCAAGCTGTGACTTTGCATGTTGTTAAATCCTATATTATAGACCTGAGCAAGGAGTATTTTGTGATTCATGCTCCAGACTGGCTGAGGTTTGAGACCTCCCAGTTGTTTTTCTAATTGACTTGTGCCCTTGCTCCCTGCCAGCTGGACCTGCTTTTGGACTGTGAGCCGTGTGGGCATGATCTGGTATCTTCTGTGGGTTTGTGCTGTCCCTCATCTAGTCCTTGCCCAGCTTGGTCATTCTCTGAGAGCTGTCAGGGTCTGAATATAAATCATGTAAAAGCAGAGAGATCATACTTGCCAGGGTTGAGCGTGCTGTTAAATTGACAACAGTGGGCTCAGGATCAGGCCTTCGTTATTAACATACTACCTCCACTGTGGACCTAGCATTTCTGCACAAACCTCACCTAGACCTCGGGGAAGTCATTTGGGGTCTTTCTGCCAAGTCCTGCTGGCTTGTCTAGGCAAGGGGCTGAACGCTTTCCTAGCAGGTTTGAAATGGTGGTGGTCCCTGGTTGTGCCCTAGCTGGCTGGACTCCTGGTCGAAGGAAATGTGCTGTGCAGCTCAAAGCTAAGCATCAGTCCTTTAAAGCAGTATCACGGGTGACACATACGCACTGTGGGATGGTGTAAGTTGAAGGACATGTTTTACTGATATTCTGTTGAACTGGTGGTTTCATTGCTCATGAATAATGTCGGCAGTACAAACTCATGCTGAATAAGCTTTTCTGCAACATCACACCATGTGCTGTGACAGTTTCCTGCCAGGCTGATGGGTGAGGTATCAGGATTTAGGACAGAAGAATTAATCACTCCTAATGAATAACTCCATTTACAAATGGTACCGATCTCCAACCTAGACCCTGGGATTTGACCCTCTTTGTGTAGAGAAGAAGAACCAACACGAAGCCATCGCACTTGTTTTCTTCCATGTGGTGAGGCCACAGGAACGTGAAGCACTTTCTGTTCCAGATGAGCACAGGCCACCCCAGCGCTCTGACAGATCCCTTGTCCTGCCAGGAGGTTTTTAGTGTGCCCTGGGGGACGCAGACCACACTGGAGCCATCTGAGGTCACACGTAACTGAATGCCAAGTCCCTAAATGCTGATGAAGTTATGCATGGCCTGGCCTCCAGCTTACTAAAGCACAAGTGGTAGGAAACTGAGGCAGCAGCAGCGTAGCAGTGACTTTCAGAATTGCAATTTTTGACTGGCAAAGTCAGACCTGGTTAAGATCCCATTTCAGATGTCCAAACCCAGTTTTGGCCCTGCCCTGAGAGCCTATTTAAATCTCGCTGGATGCCAAGGATGTCAGCCGCCTTCTGCAGTGGCACTCCTCAGTGCCTCGAGCCCTGCGAGCATATAGGCTGCCCTTATTTCAGACCCAACTGGAGTGCTGAGAAACATCTTTGGAGGTAGGCAGAGATTGATAATTTTTTTGTAAGCCAAGCATGGTCCCAAAGCAGCCATCCAGGCAGGAGCTTCCAGGCCAGGCAGGAGAGTTAGGACAGCAGTTTTCCAAGATAAGAGGAGCTGAGAGTGAGAGACACCCCTCAGTCACTCCCTGTCCTGTTTACCTGTTTAGTTGTGGGCATTTTGGTCTGCTCCTCTGCCTTTAGAGCCTGATATTTCCCTGGCTGGTCACATGTTGTCCTTCCAGAGGTGACAGTGAGAAGAATTACTCCTTTTCTCACTCCTTCATTGCCACAGAAGCTGTTGCCCGTGTCCAGTACCTTTGGCACTTTGCTGACCCTAATCTTCCCACTCTCTGCTGGCTGCAGTGCTTTGCTGAAGATGATACACAGTGAGTTAGGGGGTTAGGTCCAAGTATTGCTATGCATTACTTAATATTTCAGCACCAATTTTCCATTTCTCCTTTCTGTAGCATCCCAGGAAATGTTGGTCTTTGTGGATCATTTACCATTTGCAGGAGGTGACCTCTGTTCCTCTGCCACTGAGCGTGGCTTTACCTATGTGCTGGGAAGGGACAGCTGTCCCATGCTAGAGGAAAACGAGCATGCACTTGGGCAGTAGTGAAAATGGAGAGATGTCTTGCAACAAACCTGCTGAGGGGCCAACAGCTTATCCCACCCGGCATGAGCATGATCTTTAACTTGGTTTGTACAGAGTCTGATGAGAGATGTCTCTGTCTTGTTTTACTAGATTCCCTGGTCATAGTGGCTGATCGGATCGATGGACCGTACAACGTAGACACTGTAATAGGGACTATTCACATGAGGATCGCTGAAGCTATTTCTAACTTGCAAGAAAACAAAGATTCAATCACAGCCAAGGTAAGAGCGTGTGCCTGGGCCTGGCTGAGGATACACCATGGGTAATTGCCAGGACCAAATGTTTTTTGTGCTCACTATTCAGCTGAACTAAAGGAGATGAAGGATGAAAGAGATCAAATGCCCAGTCTTTTAATGACAGGAAACCACCCATCTTACACAAGCAAAAACCTTCTCAAGTGTTTCCAAATATTCCTACCTGCCACATCCAGGGAGCCTCCTTTAGGTACAGACACACAAGGTGGGACTGCATATGCAGTGACTGTGGGAGGCATGGTGCCATGTGCTGTCAGGTGCCTCTGTGTCTGAAGAGTGCTGAAGTATTTTGGCTGAGCTGAGGCATTTACAGAAAGTGCACAGTCCCTAGTGACAGAAGGCAGCTGCTTTAACCTGCCTTGGGGTGATGTTCTGCAGTGGAAACACTGGGCTATCAGGTTGTATCTGTGGGACAGAGTTGCAATCTGGCAGTCCATCTGGAGAGTATAAAACAGGCTCTCCTGATGCTCACCTGTCTTCCAAGAAGTATGTCATGAAGCTCTCTTCTGTTGGTCTTCTATTTTTAGTATATTTATCCACTTAACCACAATCACCTCTGTAGCTGCAAGTAAGAGAAGCTTTGGGAACAAAAACAGCCTTCCAGGGCTTCTGCTTTTTGCCCAGACATTCCCAAGTCCTGCAGCTATCCCACAGTTAGGGCAGAGATGCAGATGAAAGGAGCGGAGCAGGTCCTAACTGGGTCTTGGAGAAGGGAAGGGCCAGAAGTATTGCTTAGCCAAGCAGGAATTCACTGGCACATGTCAAAGCACTGACAGCAGCATGCATCCAAGTACTCGTTTAGGTTTCTTTTCTGACATGAAAGGTCATGATCTTTCTTCCCTTGTTAGGCGAGACTGAGGTTGTCCACATAAAAGCAAGCCCATGATGTGGGAAAACATGGCATCATCTGCAAAGAAGGGTGTTTCTGAGGGGCAAATAGTAAATCTGGTGAAATGAAAAGGAGTAAATAGTCTAACTGGTGTTTGACTGGAGCAACCAAACATGTTTGATAAGCTTCTCAGTATGATCTGGTGACCAGGTGAATGTGACAATCTTTGCTGGTGGCACTGGTAGCAGAGGTCAGGAGCTGCAAATTGCTGCAGCTCTAAGCTCTGGTTTTGAGCATGGCAAAATGATCAGGTAAAGGGTATCGTTGTCAGATGAGCTTGGGGCTGGGCCAGGCCAGTCCTGGGAGTCTTCTCTCTCAGGGCCGAGGGCAGCAGGCTCGGGCTGCAGCTGAGGGCATCAGATATTACCAGCCTAGAGCCAGGGCACTGTCTGCCATTTGTGAGAAGAGCCAGAAGTGGCCCTTGGACCCAGTGACACCCTCAGTCATGGGTTCTCCTGGGATCTGGGGAAAAACTGGAAAGAAACACTTTTGGTACTGAGCCCTGTGTTCACTGCACCACGGAGCACTCTCCCTGCTTCCTTGCACTCCCCCTTGCTCCCTGTGGCTCTCTGATGGATTTCAGGCTGTTGGAGCTATCAAAGGCTGCAAATGTCTATTTGCTGTCACTATGCAGGAGACTATTGGTCACCTCAGTCTGCAGGACACATGTTCTCTCCAGTAATGGGAGTTGCTCACCTAAAGCCCTTGGGCTGGCAAGAGGATCGCCTTGATACCATGCTGTGCTGGAGCTGCTACAAGAGCCACTGTCCTGGAGACCTCTCAGGGCTTTTACCTTCTGAAAGAGTTGTCTCCTGCTAACAACAGTAATAGGCCAATAAGAGAGATACAGCAGTGAAACCAAATTGGTTTTATTTTGGTACAACCAAGTTGAAAATGCTCTACATGCAATTTTCAAGGTGTGGCTTTTTGCACGGAGCAAAGGAGGCAGATGAACAAATTGGCTTGGTGCTGAACTGCCATAGTCGTTGCATCCATCTGGTCAGCAAGACAGTGCACCGCAGGAGGGGACTTTCTAGGCTGAACGTCCCTCAGACACACCAATGAGACCCACTGTTACCGAAAGGACTCTTGTCTAGATTAGGACTTTGCTGATGGCTGTCAGAATCCCCTAGCAAAAGCATTCAGCAGCTGGGACAAGCTGTGTCAGCAGTGCTCCTGTCTGAGGTCTTGATTTCTCTGCTTTAAGGGGACACCGTGCAAAGTGGAATTTATCGATAGCTTCTGACAGCACGCTGGTAACCACAACAAGCTTGGAGCCACCTTTTCAAATCAGATGGCTTTCTTTGTAAAGGCTGGTGTTTCCTGAATCAAACTGACAGTGCAAAGGCCCTCCTGACCTTTGATGCTTCATTAAATCTGGCTGTCCGAGCACTCCTTCCATCAGCCACAGTGAGGCTCAGTTGCCTGAGCACTGGCTATCTGCAGCGGAGGTGTCGTTGCCTGGAGTGGTCATGCAGAGACTGGGAGAAACAGGTGCTTCCAGGGCACCCTTCGTCTCCTCCTGGAGGCAAAGTCTGAGGATTTGTTCCTTCAAAGTGCTTCTGCTCTCCTTTGGCTACAAAGCACACCTGGGCAGGTAGTTAGGATGATGGGAGGTACCCAAAGTTAGGAGGTAAATCAGCTCAGCTTCCTCATTTGCCCCTAAAAAATCCAACCTGACAGATTGTAACACATCTAATGTCTTTGCATTCCCTTGGTTGGAGGGGGCATTCATTTGCTGAGTGTGGGTGCTGGTTGCAAGAGTCATTGGGGTAGTCCTACCTCGGTCTGTTGTCCAAATCAATGAAGCTCACATGCTCTGCAATCTTGAAGCCCACACCACTGGTGTAATGAGTGTGAGCAACTCCCATCTTGTTCTTCCCAGAATTTTATTTTTCAATCATAATAGGAACAGATAAAATTGCTAGAAATAATTTAATATCAACATTAGTGACTTATCCAAAAACATGCTAATTTTGTGTTAGTGCTGAACATTTTGCTTGATAGCAGTAACCAAAACCAGTTACAGTGTGCTGAAAACACATCCTGGCACAAGAGTAAGCTGACCAGAAACAAAGCCAGAATCTTGGAGATCTTGCAGGTAGGAAAGATAAACATACTTCAGAAGAAAAAAAAATATAACTGTGGAGTGCTAATTAATTAAAGAAATAGTATCAAAACATGGGATAGAGAGTTTGGTTTGTTTTTCAGGTTTTCCAAGGCTGTGGAAATCCCAAAATCAGCACAAAAGGCTCCAGCAGCGAGGACAAGAAAAGGCGGGGGAAGGTCACATTGGAAGCAAAATCCTCTGCGCAAGCACTGGAGATGCTGGTGAGTTTGCCTCCGAAGCTCCCTCCTCACCAATGTGCCAGGGCAGGCATGCTGGTGCCCTGGGAGCCCGGCCGGTGCAGCACTGAGTCCTGCAGATCAGGTCAGACCACCCCTCAGGCTGCTGAATCGCCTTTGCTGGCAAGTCTGAAGAAGATCAGATCGGCGATTGCTGGCGTGACCTAAAGCGATCTGATCTTGCCTCAGCACAGGGTCGGGGTCTAGGTTTCTGATAACCAATTTCTCAGGGATTTGGTGCCAAACTTATCTGAAAAGGCGTGTTGCCATTGGTGTCATTGAGCCCCAGGCAGTCCAGCCTGGATAGTGGGGCCAGAGGTCCTCCTCCATGGAGATTTTGGATTCTGTGGATGATGAGCTGCGGGACCTGCCATGGCCCCACACTTCAGAGGCTCCTCACTCACAGACACCTGCCTGTCCCACCCTGGCAGAGCCCTGCTGGCTCCCACCAAGGCTGCTTCTCAGCATTGCCTTCATGGCCCAGAAGATGATCTTCTCCTGGTTAATCTTATGGTACCAGAACAGTCCTTAGCATGTAACCTTCTGCCTTGGGTGCTTGGGTTGATGGTTGGTCTTTAGGCAAAGGCTGGTGACACATCCTTGTCTGCATAAAAACAGACTTTGTGATGGTAAAACAAAAAGAAATTGGCAGAATCCTTGTCCTTTCCACAGCCCTGGGGCACCCCAGAGTTCTCCTGGCCCTGAGCATCCTCTTTGTTTACAGGTTTTAGATGCCAAAGGGAACCTGACAGCTCTCAAGACTTACTGGATCACCCTGCCCAGCAGCCTGTGCAGCAAAAAAGTAATGGCCAGCTCAGCGGCAGACGACAAGTGTTGGAATGGGATGACCAAGGGCAGGTATGGAGAGGATCAGGTGCCAGGATAGCACCGTCCTGGGGTGAGAGAGGGAGGGTTTGATAAAAGGCACTTATACATCATCTCAGCCGCCCCACTTGTTCAGACTGAGCCAAAAGGTCTGTCCCTATCCACAGAAATGCTGCATTTCCTGAAGAACTGGTACCTGGGAATGTCAAGCCTGTTGTCATTTTGCTGTGTGATATAGGGTTAAGCACTGAAATGCATTCGCCATGAAATAACTGTGTAGTTTTGTACTAATGAAGCAGTTTTGTAATTCCGTGCACTCAGAAGGCAGAAGGGCTGGATTTACGTCACAAACTCCAGAGCTGTTGCTGAGAATTGCATATGCATCTTTCTATCCATATCTGCTCTGAAATGCTGTTCCCTCGTGAGAGGAGGCACCCGGGTGACATCAAACAGCTGCAGAAACACCTCCCACCCATGGCTGACAGTTAAAGGATGGCTGTGAGGGGAGATGGGCAGCTGCTGAACATACACCTTTCTCCACTCCTTTCCACAGACCTGCTGGGCTGGTCTCTGCCAGCCCAGAGCCGGCACTTTCGGTTCTTCCATATTTCATGTCATTGCCAGCAGTGCTGCAGATCTGCAGGAGCAGATGGGCCGGGGTACTACCGAAGGGAGCAGTGCAGCTCTGTTTGCTGGTTGACAGCTCGCAGTTGACTGAAGCTTCCCAGGGGGCCTCTCTGGTCATACCGGGCTGGGGGCATTCAGTTGTCCCAGGGTGTCAGTCCCCACAGAGTTTAACCGGGGCAGGGATGAAGGGGCTCCTCAGCCTCCCATATGGACAGAGCTTTTCCATAGGGGAGTGTCACTGTGGCTCCACAGGTGCCAGCCCGAGAGCAACCCCTCAGCCCCGCACACAGCCTTTCCTGCAGGAAACCCCTCCCCATGCCAGGACAGTGATGCTGCAAGGCCACCAGCCACCTCCTGCAAGCTGAGGTGGCCTCAGGGTGAGCCCCAGGCTCTGATGGGGTCTGGTCATGGCAGCATGGCTCGGCCATCCATAGAGCTGGCTGCCTCGCAGCAAACACCAGCATATGGAGGCTGTTCAACAAGCCAACGCCACTGACTGCAGCTTCTCTGGGGTTCAAAGAGGCTGGATTATCACTGATGTCTGTAACAGGGAGAGGTGAGCTTAGCTGGGGGGAGACATCTAAACCTGTTGCTTTCCTTCGCAGTTACCTGCCTGAAGTGATGGGGGACGGCTTAGCTAATCAAATTAACAACCCGGAGGTGGAGGTGGACATCACCAAGCCAGATATGACCATTCGCCAGCAAATCATGCAGCTAAAGATCATGACAAACCGGCTGGGCAATGCTAACATTGGGAATGATGTGGATTTCCAAGACGCAAGTGAGTTTAGCAGAGCTGGAGAGGTCCACGGTAGGCAAGAGGGGCTGAGCAGTCAGTCCTGGCAGCCTGCATGGGCCTCCGTGCAGACCCTGCAGCTGGGCCCTGACGGCAGAGAGGGGTTGTGATGACCTGGCTTTTGGCTCAGGGCTGCAGAGGGTCTGTTTGAGTGCAGCTGACTTGCTGCGGGGTGGCTGGAGGCAGCGCTGGTCTCAGCGCCTTACTGAAACCTCGGGTGCTCTCTCTAGTCCCAGACCAACCTTGCTGATGGGGCCACTGCTCCCATCTGCTCTGGAGGTTTCCAGCTGCTGCAGCAGTGGGTGGTTAAAGTCAGCTGGAGATCAGGTATGGACTTGCATCCCATAGCGGGGGATGCAGAGAGGAGGAGGTGACCAGGGCAGGGCTGGTGGCCAGAGCTCCCCAGGGTTGCAGCAAGGGGAAGGCAGGGACGTCACCCACCATAAGGCAGTCGAGGCTCACCCCATGTTTGTCTCTGCGCAGGTGATGACATGAGCGGCTCCGGGAGTGGTGACAGCTGTCCTGACGACGTCTGTGGCAAAAGACTTTCTAAGAGCCCCAGCACCAGGCAGCCAGAAACACACGCTATTCCCAAGCAGTCTGGACATGGCATCAATGGGGCCAGCAGCAGATCTTTGCCTTCTGCCTTCCTCCTCCTCCTTTTGGTGGCTTTCATTGCCGCACAGCACTTGTGGCGGGAAATCACTAGCAAAACCCAGGAAAGAGACTGCGGCCGAGGGCTTCACTTTGCCAAAACCAACCAACCAACCAACCAACCAACAAAAGGACATATTTAATTCACCTTGGCAAAAAAAAAAAAAAAAAAAGGGAGGAGAAAAAGATTTCAGTTGTTTGCTATTTCTGGCAGTGCTCGAGCTGTTTTCTTCTTTCTTGGTCTCTTCCCCAGTGCTGGGCCCTTCTTTCCGTACCTCATTGTTTTACTTTTGTTATTGCCACACACTGGCTCTTGGGGCTGAAACAAGCCTTTGCAGAGAGGCCTCCGGGGGGAACCCAGCCAGCCCCTCCGAGGGCAGCTCTTCTGCTGCCTCCAGTGGAATATGCAATTGCCCTGATGTTGTTACCCAGCCGCTGGCCAGAGCGCTGCTTACCATACCGCTGCCGAAAGCACAATGGTGCCGAGAGCAACGCCACTTCGTAACGCAGAGAGACTGAGATCGTCAGCGCTGCTCAAGTGCTACATTCAGGGGCTCTTTCGGGTTTTTCCTCTGTACTTCCTAGGCAGGCAGAGATGGCCCTTCACTTCCAGCAGCGTACGTAGGAGCGTGAGCAGGTTTGGTAGGTTGAACTGAAACAGTTTGGCAGTGGCTGTTGGACCCAAAAACGCAGAACTCCCTTTTTCTTTGGAAAGGTCACAAGTGGGTTTCTTGACTAGAGCTCGTAGCTGACGACAATTTGAAACGTAGGTCTCCTACATCTAAGTGAATGGGAATGAGTGTTAGGGGTTGGGGTTTGGGGTATTTTTTCTTTGCATGCTAGTTGGAAAGCCATTTTTTACCCAGGTAATAATGGTCCAATTTCTACCTGCAGTGCAGTACCGTCATAGGTAACAGAGAGATGAAAATATGCACAGTGGGATTCTCCGCTTGACAGACAGTTGTGCTGCCTCCTTCTCCTCTGGCCCCAGCCGTGGATGGGAATCCCTTTTTTTTTTTGGTAATAAGAAAGACCAGGGACTTTTTACTAACTGGAGCATTGTGACTGGTTGTGAGAGCTCACACCAGGCACATGCGGGAGTGACCCCCCAGGCAGCTGCTTTAGGGCAGAGAGGTGGCGATTAGCCCTGGGCGGTGTCCCTACCCAGGAGACTGACTCAAGGTAGCGCCTACTGTGGAGGACGTGGGGACGGGACACGTTTTGTTTGGGATATTTTTTTCTTTTGGTGTTTGTTCCTGTTGTATTGTAGGTTTTTAAGTGAATCCCTGCTTTCCCTATGCCTTCCCCATCCTCCCACGCACCTTCCCTAACCTCTGCTGGGATGGATTGAGACAGCCGGTCAGACACCCACCTGCAGCTCCGTTTTGGCTCAGGGAAGGGCCAGGCTCACCCTCTGCTGCCCCAACCTACCACGCACCAGCCTCTGGGTCACGCGGGCGGCTGCCCTAACCCCAAAATGCTTGGTGGGGTGGACTCAGTGCTGGGTTTTGAGACTGGGGGTGGTCGGTGAAAGATATAAATATCCTCACGTAGCTGTAGGAGTGTCTGTGCTTGTAGGGCTGTGTGCTTTGGGGCTTCCAGAAGGCTTCTGCACCTCACAGGTATGGCAAGCATCGGCTGGAGATGTAGGTTTAGCAGTTGTTATAGATACAAGACAGTCACTGTGACCAGTTGGGCCAAGAGCACGCCCAGGAGTTGGGCTGCATTCATATGGGGTTGGGTGTGTTTCAAATGTGTGTGTACTGCGGGCGAGAGGGAGGGCAGAGGTGTATCTATCTCCTACTTTATTGGTCTGCACAGCACATGTTTGAGCATTTCTTCTCTATCCTGCCAGAGGAGACATGTGTTTGGGCTGAGCAAACATTATGGGGTTGGGGTTTGGCTGTTTTCTAAGAAAGGGGAAAAAAACCCATTTTTAACATTAGCAGTTTATAGAATGTGCAATTTAAGGGAAAACGAGACCATGAGCAAGGTAATGCCAAAAGCTGGCGCAGGCAGGCGCGGAGGGAGCTTGTCACTTGCCCTCCCTGGGGCAGGGATCCCACCAGGCACTGGGAGGCAGCAGTGGCTCCTACCCACCTCGTCCTGGGGCCAGGTAACGACACTCATGGTTCGTCAAACTAGGCAGAGATTTTAAGCCAGCCACTTCAAGTCACAGTGACTGATGTTACTGACTTGGTATCCTTCCTGCCTTGTACTTGCTGCCTTCTGATCTCATCTGGTAGGGTTTCAGAAATGAAAGCCAGGATGCTGGACATTGGCTAAAGGACAGACAACACCACTAGACCCATCAAAACCCAGGAGTGGATAAATACAAGTCATGGATTTATACAGATTTATTTACTTCTAGAAATATGGCAAGTTCCACATTTTACTTTTACTGCTTTAAAGAGTTCCTGTCTTTTTTTTTTCTTTTTTTTTTAACCAGAATTGCCAATACAAATTTAGCCTTCTGTTACAGAAATCCCCACAACCAATCCTGCAGAAACTTCACATCCAAAGCAAAAAAAAAAAGAGGGGGAGAGGGGCATTAAAACATTGTACCCTCTTCAAAAAACAGTTGGGTTGAACTGGAGTTTTAACCCATGACTACCGAGGTCAATGTTTTGCTTTGCAGAAAGGGAGATTGAAAGGAAAGTCCTTGTCGTTTCCATTTCTGTGCCGTTAGCATTTGCTGTCAGCCTGTTACCCTCAAAAGCTTCTTATGGGCCCCAGGGGGAGCGCACCTTAAATGGGAAGCCAAGGATTTACTGATTGTCCAGTTAATATTTTAACAATTTAATAGCCCAAATCATTGGCCCTGTTATGATAATAAAACCCAATAGTCCAAATTAATAAGGCAAAGCCTCAAGGATACAGTAAAAACTGTTACACAGGAGAAACCCTTCCTGATGCCTTCCCCCTTTGGCTAGGGTTGAGCTCCCACTTCAGCGTCCCTCTGGGCCCCGAGGGCACCTGCTTCAGTCCTGCAGCCAAGCTGGGGGTTAGAGTAGCGTCAGCAGCCTGAGGTCTGCGCGGACGGGCGAGGGCAGTGCCGGGGCGTCTTCCCCCTCTCTGCCAGGAGGCGCATGATGTTGGTGTCGACGCTTCCTCCCTCCTCGGCCCTGGGGCCGCTGGGTTTATTTTGTATGCCTTTTCACATGGTCTGCCTATGCTCCTGCTTTTTGTCAGTTCCTGGTTATTCAGTTTTTCTGTTCTCTTCGTTGCCCCGAAGCGGTTTCCCCAATGTGCTGCAATTCAGTGGCCCCGGGGCTGCACTCAGCTGCGCCACCTTCTACTGGGGAGCCAAAACAGCCGAGTCCCCCCAGATTATCGACTCATTATCACTCTAAACTAAAGCAAACCTAAAGCAAACCATAGTTACCCGACAGCTAGACAACCGCTGGCATGGCTCAACAAGCTGAAGTCAGCCCAGGTCCAGACAAGCCTGAAGCCTGCGCTTGGGCTGGCACGGAGCCTGGGGCCTTTCAGTGCTTATAAATGACATTTCCTGGGCTACCACCTGCTCGAAAATGTTGTGACAAACCTCCCCAGCCCCGTGGCGGGCACGGGTTTCGGGCTGCAG